ACAAACAAATAAAGTACATTGACCGAAAGAAGAGAGAAAATGTGCCTGCCTTTAAAACTATTGGATGATCTCAAATTTCACTTTCGAAAACCCAGAAAATCCTTCTCAGATCCAGAATGATTAATGATCCAGATCATGTTTTGTAGTGTGATGAAGAGTCTCAACCTTAATGTGTCCATGAAATTTGGTACAAATCCGATCTCACTTTACAAAGTTATTAACCCAAAACTGCGAAAATGCCCTAAGAAAGTACACTGCACTTAGAGATATATTTAAGCCTAAGCTAAGAAAGTACACTGCACTTAGAGATATATTTAAGCCTAAGCTAAGAAAGTACACTGCACTTAGAGATATATTTAAGCCTAAGCTAAGAAAGTACACTGCACTTAGAGATATATTTAAGCCTAAGCTAAGAAAGCATACTGCACTTAGAGATATATTTAAGCCTAAGCTAAGAAAGTACACTGCACTTAGAAATATATTTAAGCCTAAGCTAAGAAAGTACACTGCACTTAGAGATATATTTAAGCCTAACGTAACGTAGTTATAAAGGACTCGTAAACTTAAATCAATTATATAAATACAATGATAAAGCCACAGCTACACCCTAACTTTAGTGTTGATTATTTAGTTATACCATCAAATGAACTTAATGACATGGATTCCAATGTTCTTTTGGAAAATCTGGACCGAATAAGTATGGTGGAAGATTTGGATCCAAGTCAGGCCTTTGTTGTGCTGAAAAAGGTGAGACTTGGTGAATTTTAAATATTTTAAATTTATTTAGTCATCAATTGTGTAAATGTATCCTATCTTTTGAAGATTATAAAATTTTTTTTTTTTCAAATAGTCATTAAGTTTAGGATTTTAAATGTCTTTTTCATTGCCGTTCCACATGTTTCTGAGTTTAGGTAATAACTAGTGAAACCTAGATTTGTATCTATTTATACCACTCCATCTGATATTTAATATAACTTTCATTCTGACATACAGTATGTTTCCGGACTTACAACGCTAGAAACCGGGTTTCGATATCCGTGGTGGGCAGAGCACAGATAGCCCATTGTGTAGCTTTGTGCATAACTACAAACAACCAACCAAAAAAGTGGGTAATATACTATAGACAGTGGGTTTACTATGTACACTGAATAGACCACGAAGAATGGACAATGGGTAGACCATTAAAGAGACGACTGACCGTGAAAAGTGGTCAGAATATTGACAACAAGTGTGCTAGTGGGGAGATGATGACCGGTTGACATAGGATAGCTGAATATCCTTGTCATATCTGAATATGTTTGGAAATCATTATTATCGTATAATTAAAAAAAAATGAAAGCAACTTTAGTAACCGGAATGTATTTGTACAGTATGTCAATATTTAATTCCGTATTATGGATATGCCTTTTGATTGACTTCACAATTATGGATATGCCTTTTGATTGACTTCACAATTATGGATATGCCTTTTGATTGACTTCACAAAAAAATGTGTTAGTCGAAAGTTGTGTAATTTTTTCTGGTTATTTGTTTTAAGATTGATATTAAAAATTAAACTAAAAGGTATCAAACATAGGCGGAGGAAACAACAGTTACCTGGAGGAGAAGGCTAAAGTGTATGCGAGACCTGAACATGTAATTCTATGGGGAGCAGAAGTTATGACCCCCAGAAAAATGTGGCATTTATAGGCTTCAAACGGAGCAATTTCTAAAATATACTTTGTAAAGCGCAGCCATTTAGTGTGTGTGGTAGCCTTAAAATAATTAATTGGTAATATCCTGTCTCCAGGAGGCGTAAACATGAGGAGGGGGCTGGAGCGCCCCTGGCTGGCTCGTCCGCTTATGTCAGAATGGTATTACATTACTTGTCATTTCCACATTAACTATTCACGAGTAGATTATGAATGGATAAACTATAGCTATAGGTAATGGGTAGACCAAGATGGAGATGGGCGTATTACGACTGTGTCACCTATTATAACATCAGCCTGACCAAGCTAATGTTTCCTTAAAATTTTACTATTTTAGAGCTCCTCTGATCTTAAATAGTATTGCATCCTTGGAAAGTTTAAAATACCCATGTTTTTTTATTGATAGAATGTGTATATATATATATATATTCGATAAATAAATTTGAAAACGGTAGAAAAATGTTTAAACGTATCAGTCAATATGTGTATGTATGTAAACGATGCTTGCCATTTCATACTCCTATTAGATTTTCGATTGTGTTAGGTAAACTAAAATAAAATAAAAAAACGTTTCATTTTAGTTGAATGGAGATAAACAAGTGGATCAGTTAACCACAATGCTCAAGGGAAGTGGGAAGAATATCACAGCTTTCATGGCTAACATGTTGCCCGCCAATAAACTCGCCAGCCTGGACTTCAATCAACTAGATAATCTTCAATCAGTCGTCAGTGGGTCCTCGATACTTTTGGTAAGAAATGACCTGGGGGTAGAAAATTCTGCCATCATCCATCTCTTCTTCTTCAAGTATAAAACATTTCTTATTTAATTATTACCAGTTTTCTTTTCTTACTTGCTTATACTTTTGTTCGTTTTTTATTTCCGAGCATAATTATCTTCTTATTATAGGGGGCGTATTCATGTTTAAGGGAATAAATTTTATAAAACATTACAATAAGAAAAATAAGGATTTTAAACACATCGATCTTAACTGTCCCGGTATCCAAACTTCAAGCAATAATAATGTATATCAACCATCAACTGCACTTTTGCTGCTCTAAACCACTTCCAAAGAGTTTTACTATTATTGGGTTTTTCTACTTTAACATCACCTTGTACGACATATGGGTTAAGCAGCCATGTCAGACAATCCTAAGTTTCATTCAGATACAACCATCCCTAATTTTGATCTACTGACCAAAGGGAAGGCAGGCAGGCAGCAGTACCAACCGCCAAAAGAGCTTTGGACAAAACAACAAGATTGCTGTCAAATTTACAATATATCCACAGAACCTTGGATCTTTCGATGCAAAGTCTGCACCACTACAAACAAAGACTTTTGATTAGTTCAAGAGCTTACCAATGTTTTAGGATTAAAACATTTAAAAAAGTCTTCGGTTTGAAACGCTGCTTATAATAATAATTTGAGCAGCAACTTTTGAATTTTACGGTTCCTCCAAAAGTGGCAAGGATGCTGGTCTCTCATGAAAACAGGTGTAATGAATAAATATTATAATCGTTTAAGTATATCAGTCGCTACCTTTACTTAGCCGATTACTGTTACTAACTATGTTATGGTAGTTACTATTTAAAAAATTGAAAAATATATGTGTTGTTGTTGTTGTTGTTGTTGTTGAAGAAACCAAAAGGGTAATTTAAATACATCTCTAACTCAACGTAAAAACTATGTTGTAGTTTCAGCGTGTAATTAAGTGAACAAATATGTGTGTGTTATATATGTTGTAGTTTCAGCGTGTAATTAAGAGAACAAATGTGTGTGTTATATATGTTGTAGTTTCAGCGTGTAATTAAGAGAACAAATGTGTGTGTTATATATGTTGTAGTTTCAGCGTGTAATTAAGAGAACAAATATGTGTGTGTTATATATGTTGTAGTTTCAGCGTGTAATTAAGTGAACAAATATGTGTGTGTTATATATGTTGTAGTTTCAGCGTGTAATTAAGAGAACAAATGTGTGTGTTATATATGTTGTAGTTTCAG